ATTTAATTCGACAAAATAAATGTCGTCTTTTTTTTTTGGTATTTGCAATGACGGATACGACTAATTCATCATTATATAATTATGTATTGTGACGATATCTTATAATACATCTAGTTTTTCAAGTTGTCATATAGCAGTCACCAAACAGTGTATAGTTAGCTTTTGCTACAATTGGCAATGCATTTTAAAACATTGCATATTTCATTTTATATTCTAAAAAGTCCGATAAGAGCCTTTTAGCCATATGCCATCTAATGTTTTATTTGAAATAAAAAATCGTTCGCAGTGATGTTAATATATTAAAGGGTAAATTGCAATTTTGATACCCAAAGTAAAGGTCATTTTAAAATCAGTACCCATTTTGAAACTTGTACTAAATTAGACCGAAACTTTCATTCTGTTAGCAACGTTAGTACCCGACCGTTAGATGTCCGTCAAATTCCCGTTTGTTGTTAACGGAAGTGGTCAAAATGGAGAGAAAATTGTATTTTTTGGGCACCTGATGAAACCTATATATTTATTAAAGCATATGTACCTATTTTTTTTTCAACAAAAAAGTGCAGTTCCATCTCTTGGGTAAGAAAATAAATTAAAAAAATTGACAAAAAAAAAAGCNACAAAAAAAAAAAAAAAAAATCCTACAAAACAAAACAAAAAAATCAACCATCGAAAATGGAGATCAATGTCGAAAACGAGAAACCCATAGAAACTCGCGACGAACAAGAACACGACACGACAACCCCACTGGTCGTCAATAAGGCCCTTCTGGCAGTCAAGCTGCAANAAATCCTAGAAAACAAAACAAAAAAATCAACCATCGAAAATGGAGATCAATGTCGAAAACGGGAAACCCATAGAAACTCGCGACGAACAAGAACACGACACGACAACCCTACTGGTCATCAATAAGGCCCTTCTGGCAGTCGAGCTGCAATTTGAATAATCGACCTGGATATTGAAAAGCATGCGGTGCCAAGTATCGGCTAGCCTTTGTAGCCGAAGCCGTGCAGCTCCTTCATTTGGAGTACCAGCCCATGCCTATTCATGTACTATGTGTATCTGTATATGTAAAATGCAAGGTTGATATCAACCAATGACAGAAATAAAATAGTTAACAAACAAAGAACAATAGCAACAACATAAAAAATGGTTTGGTAAAAAGAATTAGGCAGCAAAAACATACCTTGACTTCTGATTTCTTGACAGTCTTTATCATAAATCTATCGTCTTGTGTCAACTAAAAGAAACATCCACTCTTCCCAGGAAAAGAAAATTCTCACAGAGAATCACTTCCACAAATGGCAGACATGTAATCCACAGGATCCACTTGAAATAGCTCGCGTAATTTCCTGATAAACCCAATTAAATAATTTTCAATTTTCAGTTTCATTAACCAATGTATCCCAATAAAGCTAGCAACTTTAAGAACACATCTCACACAATTGCAGCAAAGAATAGCATTTTTTAACCACATATGTGATAACTGATAACCTATTTAAGAATAAATACCTAAAGACAACTGGGCAATAATCCTTCCACCGAAACTCGGTGGACAGATGCAGAGGCGTAATTTCCGACCCCTCAGGGGGAAACCTCGTCCAAAACTTCTCCATAGGATCAAAATCAGTCACCTTAAGCTCTCGCAATATCGAAGCATACTTTCCCACAGTATACCTAAAGCAATTTACATTAAAAACCACATAAACACCATAACAGAAAAAA